AGATGGTGAATTTTTTCAATAAAAATGAGAAATTATCTAATTAGAAGGGTATAAACGTAATTATACTTTCAATTCTCACTAAATAAATGACATCTGACAATTCTGTTACTCATTGTAACAGAATGGGCAAAATTGTTAACGAAACAAAGCTCAAAGAGAATTAATGTTACTTTTTAAAATTCAGGAGACAAAATATTAAAAAAGTCGTAGTTTAGAGGGAATTTTTGAAATGAATAGTACTAAAATAATTATATCCCTTTTTTGTTGTTCTCTCTTGTTTTGTCTTTCTCTCTCTCATTCTCTCTCTCTAGAATTCAAATCATCTCTCTCTGAAATAATATAGCATTATCTTTTTAATAGCATCATTGAAAATTACTCTTAATAGACATTTTAAGATTAAAACCCAAGTCCTTAAAAAATCTAAATTTCATCAATATATTTAGATTGCAATTTAAACAATACAATTCAAAATTTCCAATTCAAATCAAACCAATTCCTACTAGTGGGCAAAACATAATGTTAACTTGTTACATGGCACGTCATTAGGATTTCGCCAAGCGTGTCAGTAACCAAAGTAATCAAAAAAAAAATAATCAAGGATAGTCAAGGTTGAACAAAGTTGACTAAGTTGACCAACGTCCGAAAAATGCAGATAAAACGCGCACCGGATATAAATTAAACTGAACCGAAATAAAATAATCACTAAAACAATGAATACTTGAGATTTAAAGTGACTAAATGAATAGAGGGATGAGATTGTGACATGTGGAAAGTAAGAGAAGATGGCCGGCCAACTTAAGGGGGAAGGAATGAGAGATTTTGTTGAATTTTGAAAAAAAATCCTTAGAAAATGCCAAAATTACATTTTAGTCCCCCTTCTTTTTGGTAGTTGGTTTTTAAAGGAAAAAATTCAAGTAAAATGTCGATTTTTAATGCTAACAACAGAGGGAACTCAGCCAAAGAGAGAGGAAGAAAAAAATTCACTCAAAGTGAGAAAAACGAGTTTAATCGAAATTGACAATACTGCACTGCTAGTTCGCATCACTAAGGACTTCTCTTCATTCTCTAATGTAAATTTCAGTTTTCTTCTCACTTTTTCTACCTTGGCTACACATTTGAGTATAGTAGAAAGTATGAAAAAAAATTTGCTTAACATGATGATTAGCTTGTGATTGTTAAAGGACTTGAAAATCTAGTGATTAAAGGATGAATTCTTGGTTATTGGATTTTGTTTCTAGCAATTCTTGGTTATGATGAATTTTTGTGAGAATTTAAATGAAACCCTAGAATCATGATGTCCATGATGATATAATTGAATGAGAATGATTGTGAGTTATGTTTAAAAGGTGGAATTACTGATAAAACGAGCTATGGTTAGCTCGGGAAACACGAAAAAATAGGCGGAACTCCGCTGAAATTTAGTTTGAGAATTTGATTCGAACCTGGATAGAATGAAGAATAGAAGGAATGTGATGTGTAAATAAATTGATTAAATGATCAAAGATGTATAAAAATCTAAAACGATAAAAATTTACCGATTCGGACCAAAATTGAAAACTAGGCTCATGACCGAGAAAGTACACCCGGTGCTGTTTTCAGCTAGAAAACCTAGATAAAATCTTAGTTTTAAAAATTTACCAACACCAAATTGAAGGAAATTTCGTTCCGAACAACTTTTGTGAAATAGCGTTTTCTCAAAAATGAATCTCGACGCTAGTTTTGGGCTAATTTCCAAAACAGGTCTAAGATGGTGATTATTGGTTAAATATGCATGGGTTTGGAGCATGATGTTGAGATAGGAAATATTTTTGTTCGGATACCAAATATAAGAATTATGGACCATTTTGAGTTAAATTCTATTGCAATTACTGGTCTTAGATTGTGAATCTAACGATCAGAAATTTATATAATAGGATCGATAAATGATCAAAGTTAGAATGCTTCAAGTGACACGAAGGACACAACATTAGCGGAACTTCTGTAAGTATCAGTAGTTTTTCTTCTCTATGACACGAATAAACTTATTTTGATATGTTGCACAAAAAATTGTGCATATTGTAAGTATCAGGAGTTTTTCTTGTCTATGACACGAATGAACTTATTCCTCTGTATTGCACAGAATTGTGCATATTGTAGGCTCAATATATGCTAGAATGTGAATGGTGTTTCTTGAATGTTATATATGATGTTATGAATGTACTAATAGACTCTAAGTAGTAGTAGAAATCTACTTTGCGAAAAGTCCGAGTCGAAATCAAAGTTAAGGTCAAAGTCAACAAAAAAGTTAAACTCTTACGAAAAAAGTTAATTGCTTAGGAAATTGATAGAAATGCGTAAAAATGCAAAATCAGGCTAAAATTACTATCGTAATGAGAAAAGATGACAATAAGACAATGTTCACAGAAAAGATGATAAAAGAAAAAAAGAAAACTTAAATTGTTTGTACCGGCCTCCACAAGAGAGAGGTTATTATAAAACCATGAGTGAGTTGGTTATTTTGGGTTGCTCCCCCACTCCTCATTGGGATGTGCGCAACGATACAACAGGATGGGGCCCATAAGAAGTAAAAGACATGAAATTGGAATACGACAACCGTTCCACATGAGAGTACGAAAGTTGTAAGTAAAATATATGAAATTGTAATACAAAAACCGTTCCATGTGAGAGTACGAAAATCGTAAGTAAAAGACATGGAATTGTAATACGGTAACTATTCCACATGAGAGAACAGACGTTGTGAAAAAGTATGAAATGAAAGAAGAAAAACATAAAACGATAAACGTTTTAGATGAATAGAGTACTACAAGAAATATGACATGAATGCATATATGGGTGTGCATGATTGTTCGCATTTATTATGGCCTACTGTTACTTGTTGGGTAAAAGCTCATTATGTTTGTTCGTGTTGTAGGAAGCTTGAGTAAGGCACCGGCTCCCTGAAACCTGTTGCTGGGCGTGGAGAGAGGATGTAGTGGTAGAGTGTGGGCAAGTAGGTGATGGACGCACTGTGAGACTAAAGACGCTGCGATATGTGTATAAAATAAATAGTAATTACGAATTTAAAATTATGTAAGTTATGTAATGAATGTAAAGTTTATGAGACTACAAGGTTATGCTTAGTATCCTTAAGTTACAAGGTAAGTTGAAGTATCCAAAAGGCTACTATGGTAATGGCCTATGAATGATGAAGGTATGTGAAGAATAGATTGAATGTATGACTATATCTAGGAACTGATTTTGATGTATTACTTTGATAAAGCATATATATTCTTTAAAGGAAAAGAAAAAAAAGTGAGCCTAAATGTTATGAGTTTATAGTTCAAGAAGGATAGAAGTTAAGAAATGAGTTATGTATAAACGTAATAATGATGACCAAAAGTAAGATTCGTCACGTTATATTTTCATTTTTCCTGATAACTTGAGTTGATACAACAGAGGATGGGTGACTTGACCAAAACTATCACCTACAAAGCAAAGAAGAAGAAGCAAGATTCTGTTGGTGTTAGACAACGCCATTAAAGAAGAATGGCACAATAAACGACACTAAAAAATCTAAACGACGTTAATGTAAAAACGTCAGAAATAGAGAAAGTGACAAATTAACGATCCAAAAAAAAAAGTGACCGGAGCAAAAAAAACGACATGAACTAAAAAATAAATAAAAATGAGTACTTTGCACCGACGATAACCTCTGCAGATGTCATATGTTTTATTAGAAAATAACCAAAAGCCACAACAAACGTAGGTGCAGAAAGTTGATTTGTATTTTGATAGGACTAACTTTCGTTTGGGGTATAAAAAAGACAATTTGTTTTAATGAGAGATGAAAAGTATTATATATGCCACTCAATTTAAAAATAAATAATTGTCTTTTAATAAAAAAAACAAAAAACCTTTAATTATTAAAAATAATATAAATAATAGGTCCGTATAAGATGATAGTACTTCTCTCCTAGAAAAAAAAATGACCAAAAACTGAAAGATCAACATAAACTTAAAAAACAAACAAGAAAGATAATTATTAGAAAACGTAAAAAAATGAAAAAAAGAATATCCTGAGAAAGTGACCTCTAAAAATGGCATATCTTGTATCGGGAAATACTCCAAAAACCATAATGAACGTAGGCGGTTTTATCAACTAGTCATATAGATTTTTGTTAGGAAAGACGCCAAAGTATTTTCTTTTTATTTTTCTTTTTCCCTTTTTACTTAAAATTATTTTTTTATAATAAATATCAACTTAAAAATAATATTTAAAAATCCTAATAAAATTCCCTTGGAACAAATTCCCTGTGGTAGTTAAAACGGATAGCAAAGATTCCTAGTGATTCAAGCTATTACATGAAATAATTCTAACAACGAGTTATGACCGTCCTGATATTAATTGTGGGTTTTAAAAATAATTTTTTATGCATAAGTGTGTATCTAACTGATCATGCATTATAAAAATCTTAATAAACCTTTGAGATACTATATAGAATATATTAATTTATACACGAATAAATTAATCAAATTAATTTATGAATAAATTAATTAAATTAATCAGATAGTTTTTTTCATGGTGGCAGAAAAAGAAGTCACAGTTCAAAGATATGTTTGGACTACAAAGCATTTTGGATACTTGAGTAGTCTGTTAAGAATTCGCGCCCCTAATTCTATCTTACTTACGGTTCACACTCAATGTGAGTGATACTTGAGTAGTGATTCAAGCTTTTACATGAAATAATCCTAACAATTCTAGTGACCGCTCTCATACTAATTGTTGATTTTAATAATTTATAAACAAATTAATTAGATAGTTTTTTCATGGTGGTAGAGAAAGAAGTCGCGGTTCAAAGATGTGGTCGGACTACAAAGCATTTTGAATACTTGAGCAGTCTGTTAAGAATTCGTGCCCCTAATTCTATGTTATTTGTGGTAAAATATCAAACAAAGAACACAAGAATTATAACGGTTCACACGTGAGAACTACGTCCACTTTCAATCACTAAAGTACTTCACTATGATGAATAAGAAATTTACAAGAGTGTACTTTCAATCTCACTGTACTCTCTAATTAACTTAAAATCGTAGGGTAATCGAATTACATGTGTAAAATCACCAAAGTTCCATCAACAAAATCGACGAAAGTTGATGTGCATGTGCCCTCTGTGTAAGGCAATAATTGTTAAGCCACTAATTAGGCTACACCAAGACCTTAGACTCGAGAAACTTTGACCTCGTTCATTTCACCGATTCGAGTTTTCAGTTTTAGGTTTGTACAGTAAAAAACTTTCAGAAAATGTTACATCAACTTTTTGTGCTACAGTGAAAAGCTCTCAGAAAATGTCACATCTCAACTCGAATTAAAAACTCGAATCCGCGAAGTGAACGAGACCTTTATGGTTCCATCTAGAAACTGCAGAGTCATTAGACTGTTGAAACTCAGCAAATACAAACAACTCAAGGAACTGCGTAGAGATTTAGCGAAGATGATCAATCTAAGATTTGTAGGTACAGCCATAGAGCAAAGCCTCATAGTTCTTGGAACATTGATCATTTGATATATCTCGAAATTTGTTCCTTTTGTGAAAGACCTTCCTGCATTAGAGAGTAAGTGATTGAATGTTAAGAGGTTGCGATTTGGCAATCAAGATCTCTGGTTTGGAATTAGTTGGCAGCAGTCAGTTAGAGAATTACCATTTAAATTGAGGATTATCATCCCATTGCGTTGACAAATCTGAGAATTGCGAAATGTCTTTGCATTGACTGGCAGAAGACTCTCTCAACACCATTGTAGGTTGGCACCTTGGAGCTCACGTCACATGGTTCATCTACACAAATATATATATGTGGAAATTAGGCAATGTTAAAAATAAAAAATAATAAATAAAAAAAAAGGAAGTTCTCTCTCAATGTCATTGGTACATACACATAAAATTCAATGGGGATAATCGGGCAGGTAAAATTCTGAAAAAGTTGATTATGAACTTACTCGTATGTTTTCATTCGTGAGAATGAAACCGAACATCTAGAACGTAATATTGTAGTAAGCCAATTTTGCATGTTCAAATCTTAGAGTCTGCCAATATGAAATTAAGAACTCTATATTAGTACCAGAGAAGAGAAAACAGAGGAAGAATGCACGCAGTCAAATGAATTCCTGAAAACATTTTCATCTCTATATATTACATTGGCATGAAGCTTCACTAGTTCCTTGGCTTTTATTGCAGAGCTTGAGTATTGCCTTTCATCTCTTTGCATTTCAATCAGTCGTTATAACGGTTGGCAAGGCTCTGCAACAAAATAAAATAAAATACAACAACAGCAGACATGACAATTACTAAAACAAAACGAAAAAAAAAAAAAAAAAGATTTAAAAACGATGTAGAAATAAATAAAGCTTTGTGTGCGCATGTATGAATGTAAACCTATTTTATCTTCTAATTTTTATTAATATACCTCAATGGTTGGTGGCTAGGAGAATCCTCTTGCCCATTTCGTGGCGATATTTCTTAATGGATTAGAACTATACCGAAGACCAAAAGTAGTTGCTCAGACATAAATCCAAAAAAATAAATAAAATAAAATAAAAAATAAGAAAATCTCAATATAAAAATCTTCAATTGAAAGTTACAACACCCTACTTTGACTAAAAAGAATTCGCATTTCCTCCATTTAGCACGCCCATATCTGTTGCTGTATGCATAAAAAATATACATATCCACCAAAGGCCTCTATAAGAACTCTAAAACCACAATTCTAAATATTTAAAACTACGCAGGATATACACATATCCAAAGTTGGTTCCTGAACAAAAACATGGTTACTAGCTATTTCAGAATTAACATAGCCAATGAACTGCACAAAATTAATCTGATCTAAACTGCATGATTTATATGTGCAAACCTGAATTCCATCGAAATATTCAAATAGGTTAAGCTTCTGTAGGGCCTTGCACTGATCACTAGGGCAACGTGGAGACAAAGTCGACTCCTCCAGCAAAATCCTCTGAGTCAACTCCACAGCAGGCAACCTCTCCTTCGACGTGGAAGATCTCTTCCAGAACAGTCAAGCCAACATCTCAGCAGGAGTCAACTGCTCCTTCTTCATAGTGGTGAGCCAACGAAAGAACGGCCTCAAACAAGTGACTTTGATTGCTCAATTATGCTCCAGGGCGAGGAGCAACACTTCCTCAATTATGCTCCCTACAAGAATAAGAATCATACAGATTCTTCCAAAAGAATGACCAAATCCTCACAGTAATATCAGTAACCTTAATGGCTTTCATTGCTTTTATATTTCAATTCACATGAAAGAACAAGCTTCCTATTGTTGACATAAGCAATTCCAAACATAACCATAGTGTTTTAACAAAGAAGTAGTCAAAAGAAGCATCTTATTCTCCACAGCTATCATCATTAAGAAAACAAGATGAAGAGCGTGATTTCATTTATCAACTCTGCAAAGATTCAATATTTAAAGGTTTTAGCATATTAGCCGAACCAACGCTGTTTGGAAAAATTACCAGCATAATATACTTCAAGAATAAGCGTTCTAAACATTTTCATGTCCAAATTACCAAATTTTGATTCCACAAGACGTTGATACACTTCAACAACATATATTCTTGCAAAAAAAAAAATTAAGAACCACACATAACAAAATAAATAAGTAAATATATAAATAATATGGTTCTAGTTTTCGTGCACTCAAAATGTATAACTCGACCTTTGTATTAGTTCATTGCTCTGTATCGGTAATGAAAATAGCCTCTGAACAAAAACAGACAAAATAGAAACAACTTATAATTCCATATATATAAGAAAAAGGATAAAAGAAGAATAAGGAATTAAATAGAACTATTTTTTTACAACTATTTTTTTGGAAGAGAAATAAAAGAATCTTATTAAGAAAATGACAAACGAAGCAAAAAAGACAAAGGGAACCAAAACAGAGGAAGAGCCTCGTATTCCCAAAAGAAAGGACCAATCACTGATGGAAAGTAATAAAATATTATTCAAAATAAAGGAATTAAATAATAAGAGTTGACTTAAAATGGAAAGCAATAATAATTGAAAATAAAGTGGGAAATGTAAAGAGAGAAATGAAAAGTACCTGAAAGATGATTAACCTAAGCGACGCTGACGCCAACTCCAATTATCAATTCTTCCTACGAGAGGACATCTGGAGATACGCAAAGAATCAAGAGAGGACAGCAGCCCCTCGTCAGGCAAGCACTTCAGATTTTTGCAATTCCCAATCAGCAAGTGTTGAAGAGAGCAGAGGTGTTGAAAGCCCATGCGATTCAAGTCTCTAAGCCTTGGAAAACCACGGATCTCGAGAGAAGTGAGAGATGTGGGCAATTGCCCTTCGAGCAAGCTCTGGAGCTTTTCACAATTCGAAAGGACCAGCTTTTTAAGAGAGATGAGCTGCTCAAGTACTCCCTTCCCATTCTCTTCCACTGCGTTGTACTGGAGATTATTGCACTTCTTAATTTCCAGCTTTTCAAGGGAGATGAGGTGTCGAAGGAAGTCATCACCTATGTCTTCAAGGCTTGGAAGGTATGCGATACAGAGAGAAGTCAGAGAAGCGGGCAACCCAGTTCCTGACAAGCACCGGAGATTTTTGCAATAAGAAATTCTCAACTCTTTAAGGGAGGTGAGATGTTGTAGGCCCTTGCCAAGGTCTTCAAGCTTATTAAGCTCATATAAACAGAGAGTAGTGAGTGATTTGGGCAGCATCTCTCCCGGAAAGCACTGGAGCTCTTCGCAATCTTCGATCATCAACTCTTCAAGAGAAGTGAGGTGTTCAAAGCCCTCCCCATTCAGAACTTGAAGATTCTCAAGGTTCTCAATATAAAGAGAAGTCAGAGTGGTCGGAAGCAATGTCTCTGGAAATTTCATCACATTTTCATAGCGCCCTGAAATCTCTAAGCTTGGAAATTTCATCACATCTTCATAAGAATTAATGCCAAATGCTTTCAAGTTTGATGGAAAGTTACATAACAAGAATTCGGGACAATCTCTTACATCCACTTCTTCAAGAGAAGGTAAATAGTCTGGTAAGCACCCACTTAGCTTGGGACATTTGATAATACGAAGGTGCTCAAGACTAGGGAAGCATCCGCCATCTTCTCGGCCTTCAGGAATTGACCACTCTTGCCACGCTGGCATGTCTTTAAATTTTAAAGATCTTAAAGATCTAAATGGTTTAGTATTGGAAGAACTCTCACCGTAAAATTCAGCACCTATTCTTTCCACACCGCGGCAGTTATAAATTTCGAGACTTTGGAGAGAAGGTAGCTGACCAAATGGTGGCAACAAACAACAGTGGTGACAATTGAGTAGATACACAGTAACCATGTTAGCATATGAATGATGACCTACCCAATTAGAGAATGTTTCGCCTCCATAACCCTCTATACGAAGCTCCTTCACATTTGTGTGAGGTTGGAGTGCATCAAGAACTTCTCCATGTCTTGTTGACTCATTAGCGGCATCATTGGAGCTCCAAAGGTAGACTAGCTTGTTGAGATACCTTTTATCCTTTAAGTTAGCCTCCAAAACATCCTCAACGACCTCAACATTTTCAAGCTTACGGATTTCAAGTTCTCCGGACAAGTAAGGCAACCCTCCTAACTCCTTAATGCTAGAGCCACGCCTTTTGCACAAAACAAAGTAGCGTAGTGTTTGCAAGTCTTTCATATTGCGCATCATAGGCGGCATCTCCTCCAGTGGTACGCCTTCAATTTCAAGATGGCGCAAATTGACTAGGTTTCCCATGTCGTTTGGCAACTGAGTTAGTCGTATGCACTGCGATAATCGCAAAGTCTGCAAATAATACAATCTACAGAGCGTATTGGGTATCTCTTTGATTTCACCATTACGTGATAAATCCAAATACCGCAAATGTTTTAAATTGCCAATTGAATCTGGCAATATTCTGATGCCTGATTCAGATAGACAAAGAGCTCTTAAGCATCCTCCGATAGATAGCAATCGTTCCAATTGTTGGAATTGGATGCTAATTGAGGGCATCCAATAGGATGGTTTTGATGATACGCAAGTGCGGAGACTCTTAGCCAAAGATAAACCTTCAAAACTCTCCAAGTCATCAATTTTGGAGTATGAAACATGGCGAATCTTGCCAGAAAATTTAGCTTTGTCACCCTCATCCAACCTACAAGAAAATTCACCCGATACAAATATTGCTAAATCATGTGTGAGGTCATGCATTAAGATGGTCGATTTATCCTTACTCAATGGTTGGAACAATGACCTTGATATCAGATCTTGAAAGTACTCATTCCCTACATCCTCAATTCTTTTCCCTCTCTTTCCAGATTGCAAAAGACCTTCCGCCATCCATAGCCATATTATTTCTTCCTTTTTATATTCATACATTTTATAATCCTTGGGAAATATTGAGCAGTAAGCAAAGCATTTCTTTAGATGTGAAGGTAGATAATGATAGCTCAACGACAGAGAAGGCAAAATGTTGTTACTCTGATTTCCTTGCAACTGCAACTCCCATATGTCACTATTGAGTATCTCTCTCCATTCTTCTGGATCCACTATCGAGCGCAAGAGACCAGCAAGAGACTTAACCGCTAAAGGAACACCTTTGCACTTTTTGACAATATCTCTGCCAATTGCATGTAATTCTTGATACGCCTCTGACCTTGCGCCATTAATAAACACATGCTCCTCAAATAACTTCCAACAATCATCATCAGATACCTCCCCAAGGTGATGTGTAGGCACATTTCCCATCTTCTTTGCGACGATATCACTACGTGTTGTCACAATGATCCCGCTTCCATTGGCTCCGGACTGGAAAGAACTCAGTAAGGCCTCCCAATGCTCATAGTTCTCGGTCCATACATCATCCAGAACAAAGAGAAACCTCTTGCCGCTCAATGACTCCTTTAACTTGCATTGAAGTTGATAGAGGCCCTCAGTTTCACATTTTTGCGAGGTAATCTCTTGAAGAATTTGTTTCGCTATTACAGAAATCTCAGATTCATCAGAAACAGTAACCCACGACCTGATATCAAATTGACTCTTCACACTTATATCTTCATATACTAGCTGAGCAAGGGTGGTCTTGCCGACGCCACCCATGCCCACAATGGGAATCACAGATATCTTGTTCTCGCTACTGCTACCACTATCTGGAAGCAAGAGCTTCATGATTTTCTCCTTATCATCATTCCTTCCATAGACACGAGATTCATCAGCCAAAGGAGCGGGTAATCTTTGAGAAAGCCTTTTAGTGACACCTTCTTTTAAACCAAGGATATCTTTTTGTTCAACAATATGCTTCAGCCTATCAAGGATCTCCTCTATCTTGCGCTCTATAGCTTCATCAAACGTATCAAAACAAGCAAGAAAAGACTGGAGCTTCTTACGTACTGATTTGCTTCTTGGTTTAGCTTCCTTCTGCTCATGCTCCAAAGTCCGATAGTTGATCTCGTCGAGCACATCTTCAGCCTCATAAATGGTTTCCTTGAGCTCGAAAAGCCACTCTCTGACATCCGGGTTAGTGAGTTGCTTCTCCTCAGCATCAACCAGCACTTGGTTAGCCGGCCACAACGAATCCTTCAGTTTCTGCAGCAGCCCTTGGTTCACCTTCAGTCCTCGAAAGAAGCCCCGCAGATCTCGAGAATCAAGCTTGTTAAACAGTGTCTGAAACAGAGAAGAGAGCAAAGCTCCTCCAACAAGTTCAGCAGCCATGTTTTTGGTCGATATTGCAGTTACAGAGACAAGAGAAGAAAGGAAAGAAGGAAAAGTATGGTGAGTTCTCAATTGCAGCTTACAAGCAGGGGAAGAGAAAGGAAAGTCTTGGTCAACAGAAAAAATGGTGGAAGGCACTGAAAAGAAAAAAAGTGGATCCAAAGTCACCTAACAAATACAGCATTTGAGGGGAAAAAAGTGAAGCGAAGACACGGGCACGTGAGGGAAAAAGTAAAATATATAGACCGTTTAATTCATAGATTTAAATTTTTAGTTTGAGTTTAGATGTAATTTTATATAAAAATTTTTTATTATAATAAAAAAATTAAATATAATTATTTATGAGATTTTTTTATTATAATAAAATTTAAATTTTAAAAAAATAAACGGAGTGTGTATATATACACACACACTTATGTTTAGTTGATTTTGAAATCTTTATTTTAGAGAATTCCTCTAGTAAGACTCTGTATAGGTAGAGTTAATTTTTTTACCGTACATAATTTTTAATAAAGATTTGATTGTTAAGAATTTAAGATTTTTTTATTGTTTATTTTTCAGTCCCTATTAAATATATTGCCTAGTTTTATATAGAAAAAAAGTTTTCTATGTTCATTTTAAAATTATTGGTACATATATCCATTCCATTTCAAAATCAACTCAACATTAAGATTCTTATTCAGGTTATTTTCTAAAGCGTTAATCAAACAAAGGTTGAATTTCATCCACAATTTTTAAACTAACAATCTCATAAAGAAAAACTTTGAGGCCCAATATAAAGTCGACCGGCACTTTTGTTTTTTTGTTCACATTACATACGTACTTTTTATTCGGATTGGTTTTTTTTTTTTTTTTTTTTTGAGAGAATTGCTTACTATTATCATTCTCATAATCTCATTTACTACACCAAACATCTCTTTATGTGTCAAAAAATAATAATTTTTTTTGGGTTTTTTTTTTTTTTTTTTTTTTTTTTTTGAGAGAATTGCTTACTATTATCATTCTCATAATCTCATTTACTACACCAAACATCTCTTTATGTGTCAAAAAATAATAATAAAAGAATGGGAGAGAGATTTTAAACAAGGAGAGTCCAAAAAAAGAAAAAAAAAAAGCTTTGAAGCAACAATCTCAGTGCAGGAAAAAATTATCCAGATTCACATTTCACATAGAAAAACAAAGCACAGCAGTTTCTTTAAAAATTCCTAAATACAGTGATGATATCAAGGGTTAAATACATAATTACTTCAAAGTCAATAGGAAAAAGGGTGGAAGGCACTGAAAATAAAAAAAGTAGACCTAAAATTGAGTTGTTTAGTTCATGAATTAAAACCATGTAATTAGAATTATTTTTAATTTACGTGTATTTTTTATGAAAAAAATACTATAACAAATCACAAACCACAATTTAAATTAATGAACGAATCTAGTACTAAATATCTTCCTAACAAAGCCAAAGTATGTGTCCACCATTTTTTTTTCCGAACCCAAAAAAAAAAAAAAAAAAAAAGGTATCTGGGTAGCATTGCTCATTGGACAGTTTTTTTTTTTTTTTTCCTAAACATTAAAACTTATTATAACGGGAAAAGGACACGGCATTTGAGGGGAAGAGGTTACGTCAAAGCATAATAGCTGGGTAGCACAATAGGAAGTGGGTAGGGTTGGTAATCTGAATAGTGACACGATGATATGACTTAAAATTCATATAAAATTAGTAAGTTTAGGTTTAACATAAATAAATTTAGATTAAAATGAGATTAAATTCACACAACATAATTAAATAACGTGTTATTTTTAAATTGATTCGCTAATCCATAATTAAGTCGCCATAATTCATTTATTAAACGTTGCATTTGAGGGAAAAAGTTACGTCAAAGCATAACAGCTGGGTAGCACAATGGGAAGTGGGGCAATAAATGAGAAGCCTAATGCAGAAAACATGAGAGCCTTAACTTATTACATCACATGCCAATGGGATTTTACAAAGCGTGTGGATAATCAAAGTAAACAAAAAAAAAATACTTTTAAAAAGAGAGTTTTTCTAGTAAAACTCTCCATCAATAGAGTTAGTTTATCAGAATAGATAATTTTTAATAAAACTTTGATAATTGAGAATTTAAGATTTATTTGGGTAGTTCATTTTTGATGTGCCTATCAAAGATATTGCATTAGTTTTATATAGAAAAGAAGTTTTCAATGTTCTTTTCAAAGTTATTGGTAGATATATCCATTCCATTTCAAGCTCAACCAAACATTAGTGGCATGTTTATTTATTAGAAGTGAGAAATGGAAATCGAGAATTGAACATGTTTACTTATTTATTTTTATCTTAGAGTGAGAGTATAAATGTGCGGATCTCATACTAATTTCGAATTGAGAAATAAGATTGACACTCCTTCCATCCCATACGGCACTATCAATTTTAATAATAAATGTTAATTGCGATTTTACTCTTAATTCTACTAATAAATTTGTGAATAGAAAAGTAAAAGTAAATTAAAAAATGCCATAATTTACTTTCGTCTCTCATATCTCCTTACTCACTTCATCTGATATTTTTTTTTCTTTTCTTTCTTTTTTACTAGTGCCATGGACGAATTCATATCAATACAAATAATTAAATGAAACTAAGATAGTTTTCTTTCATGCATATAATTTAATTTTTATATTATGCCTATTGCTTTAAACAGTGATAATAATCAATAGTTAAATACATAATTACTTTAATAATATAGGGGTTGTTCTTTTATATTTTTGAGTTAGGGTGATTTGAGTGATAATCTTGAGTTGAGTTTGAGTTATAACTTAAGTTGAAGTTGTAACTTGAGTTTGTGTTTGGATGTGCACATTTGAGTTATGATTTAAATTGAGAATCTTTTTGAGTTTGTATTTGGGTGGGTCAAAACTTAGATTTGTATTTATATAGTATTTTAATAAAAACTCAATGGTGATGAAAATTTTTAATAGGGTATATGGGTGGAGTTTTATTCGTCTTTTCGTTGTGAATGCATAGAAGAAAAAATCATCCCAATCAGAATTAAAATGAAAAAGTTATGACATTTTTAAGAATAGAAAAAATATTGTTTATTAACTTGAGTTCGAGTTTATGAACTCGAGTTGAAGATGAAATTTGAACTCGAGTTTAGCTCTAAACTCGAGTTTAAACTCGAGTTCAAACTCAAATTTTATAAAAGAACATAAACTTAAATAAAATTATAACTAAATTTTAAATTTTTTTTAAATTTTGTTGAAAAAAACAATCTCATAATCTCTCAAGTTTTTTATGGGTTGTTCTTTTAGAGTGTAATTTGAGTGTAATTTTTGAGTTGAATTTGAGTTATAACTTGAGTTGAAGTTAGAACTTGAATAAAGTTTAGTAAAGTTGAATAAAGTTGAAACTTAAAAGAACGTAAACTTAAATAAAATTGAGTTGAAACTTAAAAAAAAAAAAAAAAAAGTTGACCCAAAGTCGCTCAAAAGAGACAAAAGAGTGGGGTATAAAATTGTGCCGACATTATTGAAAAAAAATTGTGCCGACATTATTGAAAAAAAAATTTGCCGACATTATTGAAACAAATCGTGCCCACATGGCCCTTTGGATATATATTTTTAATTAAAAAAAACGCTTCTATTTAAAAAAGAAGTGTTTTTAAGTTCACTTCAAGGTTACTAGTATTTCCATTCAATTATAAACACCAACTAAACAGAGTGAATTTTTATTTACATTCGAATTTCATTACCATTGACTTCACCTTTTTTGTTTTCCTGTTAGGAAATTGTCGTTGCTATTACGTACTATAAATATTTTTTTAATGTAACTAAACGTGCCTTTAATATTTGGAAAGAGGAGGAGAAAAAGGGAAAATTCAAAAAAAAAAAAGAAAAAAAAAAGAAGACAATAAGGAAATTGTCGTTGCTTACAAGCAGGGGAAGAAAAAGAAAAGTCTTGGTCAATTGGAAAAAGGGTGGAAGGCACTGAAAAGAAAAAAAAGTGGACTCAAACTCATCTAACAAAGACAAGGTTAAAAGAAAAAGAGAAAAAAGTGAGTAAAGCAAAGCCAAAGTACGTGTCCACCATTCTTTTTTCTAAACCTAGAGGTGTCAAACGTGTCGTGCAAGGCCAGCACGACACTTTCAACCCCAGGCCCATGGTGGGCCTGGGCCGTGCCTAGCACGGCTCTGCACAGTGTAGGACTTGAGGAGAAATTTTCAGGTCCGGAATTGGCCCACGGCCTTAGTCCATAAGGTCCAGGGTCGGGCCCCGGCCCAGGCCCATCACGGGCCGGCTCTAGTTCTTGTAATTTTTTTTGTAATATTTAATAAAAAAAAATATATATCATATGCCCCCAAAAGATGTGATTTTATTGATTGAGATAATATGAATAAGTACACATAAATGACTGCCTCATTAAAATGCTTGCAAGTACAATCCATGGGGAGATCAGGACAAAACCTTAGCGCAGGAAAAAAAGAGTGCAGTATTCTAGGATAAATAAATTTCAAAACCTAAGTACTTCCAGAAGATTCTGTTATTTCTAAGTTGAAAAAATAGTCTTGCATTGAATCATCTATACATTGTTGTTTTTGTCTTCTCGCATCTTCTTAGTTTTTAACGCACATTAGCCCCTCCAAGATATCTGGATGCATTATGCTTCTCTTCTCGTCAAGAATTCGGTTGCTTGCACTAAATGCTTGCTCCGATGCTACCATTGACACTGGAGTTGTCAGAATGTCACGAGCTATTACGGACAGTGTTAGAAAATGATCGGTCTTGCTCTTCCACCACTGTAAGATGTCTAGTTTGTCATCATCGATTACAAAATTTGCTTCAAAATATTTTACCAGTTAGGTAGACGCTTGTGTTGATATCAATCTTGTTGTTTTCTCTTTCTTCTTTAAGAAACTCCACGACGAGCTTTTAGGCCCCGAACTGCTAGTTGACGTCAAAGTTCCCTGTTCCTTTTGACCTGTGCTATAGTTTGCTTCATACTAACCAAATAACTTTTCAAACATTTTCCACGCGTCAATAATAGTTAGTAACATATCAATACCTAAATTTTCTGCTGTAGCAGTCATCAAAGATTCAGTCCCATCTACTGCGTACCTAAGATCTAAAATGGTTGCTAATGCATATAACATAGGATAACCTGACCAATAACTTTTAAATTTAGTTTCCATTAGCTTAACTATGTTTC